GTTCCCCAGCCAATAGGAGCTAAGAGATTGGCTGAGGTCAGTTCTTCTTGGTTGATTGTTTCTGGCCAATGGCAGCTGAGGATTGGGCTGGGGGCGGGGAGATCGCATGAAGCCTCCCTCTCCCTGCAGAGCAGAGAGCCACAGGGACTGTGTTTTAAACCGCGGAAGCTCCGTGAGCCGGAGGGTCCCAGCAGCGTAGTCCATGGGTCGGATCTGGTGGCTTGGCGGGCTGGATCCGGCCCCCGGGATTTATTTTGCCCAGCCCTGCTCTAGGAATTTGGGACTCTCGGGTCTACCAACCAGACCCTGGATGTTGCTGGACCAAAAAAACCCAGCGGCTTGGCTTGGGAGCCGATTTGGGAGTCCAGAGTCTGGGAACCGTGTCCAGACCTGAGTGGAGCGCAGTAGCTGGGGCTTGTGGCAGGGGGCAGAAGGGAGCCCAAAAGCTGGGACGGGACCAGCAGGGTAGTATTGACTTCCTCTCCTTGGGCAAACCCCCTGGTTTGGGACCATTCAGGTACCAAGAGTGTCAGACCAGTGAGCTCCAGCCTGTGTAGTGCAATGATTCTGAAACTATGGAATGGGACCCCTAGGATTACCAGGACTGGCTTAGAGTTTTGGGCCCAGGTTAAAGACATAGTACAAGGACTTCAGTCCTAAGTGGCAGGACTCAAGTTATAGACTCCCTTTCTGTGGCTGAAGTCCTTGGGCTTGTGCTCCCCTCCCCCCACATCTCCTGGTGAGTGCAGTGGAGCTTGGACAGGTTCAGTCTTCCAGTACCCCCTCCTGGAGTCATGTAGTATTCTTTTTCTCATGGATCATTTGGAAGTTTAAATTTGTCATCTGAATAATTGCTTACACTGGGGAAAAATGGGGCCTAATCCAGTGCTCAGTCAAGTACAGTAAACTTCCGATAATCTGGCACCTTTAGGACCCAGGGGGTTCTGGATTATCAGATTTGCCAGACTATCGGAAGGGGGGGCTATGAGGAGTCTGGGGTGGAGGGGGATGCCACCCCAGGCCCCTCATAGCCCCCCCTTCCTATAGTCTGGCTCTGCCCCAGGCGGCCCTGATTCAGCCGCCGCTGGGCAGTTTTTGC